AAGTCACATCCTTGTCTATTCTTACTCGTCGTATCGTGACAATCAATAACACAATGTTTAACACTTCTGATGAACACATTGGAGCTGATGAAAAAGTTATAAATTCAGTGTGAGTAAGGATTGGGCACATAGCGTGGTAAAGCCTGCAAAGCCGAGCCATGCCATGCCGAACAATTGTTCCTTCGTTCAAAAATTTTTGACCTCCTCTAAGTGTTACGTAGTGAATATAGCTTTTCTCGGTAAATATATGCTCGGCTTTAAAGATCGTGTGGTTAAGAACCAACACCACCACCAAAATAACCTTGTCCATGATTAACCGAATTTCTCAAACTTATTTTTTCTGGCTGTACGGGTGATTTAACAAACCACAAAAACATTTGTGAACTACGTCTATCAACATAGTCTATATGAGACTCATTCAGAATATGAAATAAGTTCCACTCCAGATTGATCCCTTTGAAATCGCAGTTTTATCTTAACTCACTTTTGCATTAAATGCGCTAAAGGTCCAAAACCGCTACTAACAGATAATTTAGGGTCTAATTTCACTTCAGTAGCATTAATGTTGTCCACAAAGCCAACTTGAACCAAAGCCACAAAGCCAAAGAAACATCTAATCATTTCTAAATCTCACTTGTCCTCGACAGAATGTGCTGTGACTCTAAGGTCGGCTAATTGTCATGTGATTTATTCGCAAATGGAAACACGACTTATACAGTCTTGGTACTGTATCAAACCAGTGATGTTCGACCGGTATGAGCAGACCAGTATCCTTATTGCTTCTTTTACCTCCTACCCCTTCCTATTGAGTCGAGAACGCCAGTAACAGCCTCCACTATGCGAATCCTGTATTCCAAACATACTTCGTTTACATAACAAACAAACAGACTGCATCACACCGCAAAATATGAAATAACCTTAGTACAAGATGAAGCCAAAAAGTGGTAGTGAGCGTGGAAGATTGTTTTAATAAACGGGGTTTTATTTCAGAATAGTAAATCGTATAATAATAGTCTATAGATCAAAACAAATCTTGTAGTAGGAGGAGTATAGATATACATAATCTAGTTACTCAATAGTTATACAGTGAGAATATATATATAATATTGGCCCTTTAATAGTTCTCAGAGGTTACCAGTAATTTAATCTCCACTAGGATATAACAGAATGATAGGCAAAGATGGATAGTGGCTAGCAGTGGAATCCAGTTTGACGCGCGTTTCGTCTTATTTGGGACTCGTCAGCTGGACGTACCTGCATCTAAGAGTTGATGTTCACTCTAGGACTCGAACCCAGTACCTTTCGGTTCAAAAGCCATCGCGTTATCCACTCGGCCACTGAGTCCTGATAGCCACTTGCTTGTGGAATTGGGTGAAGTTGAGGCAATATGCACAGTATGCACATATGCCAATTAGAGACTGAACAGTTGCAGTCCTAAAAACATCAACGGGAAGATCCAAACAAACAATACTAAGTAAATTATAAAAGAATGATTTTTGAGAAACTTATTTAAATTATAATACTCATGATCATGTGTTGGTACGGGTTCCTAACTACACGGTCTTGGAAGTTGAACACATAATTACTGAGAAGATTCACTTTCACACATTTGACACGGAGAGTTGGCCAACAATGGCGAACGCGTGAACATTCATCAATTCAATCGGATGCCATGGCTCAGACTCTCAGACGTGATAATGCTGTATAACTTATCTTCACACACGCACTAAATATGTCGTCCAATCTTCGACCCAATTGTGTTCTTCAAAAGTGCTGGACGTTAGAATGTATTAGTAATAGTAAGTAGTGATACTTCATTCTCAAATAACAGTCTGTTACATGAGGTGTGTCGGTTTACAGGCAAGATCAAATTATTACAGGAGATACACTTTTCAGTGCAATGGGTTTCTCAGTTAGGTTGACATTTTATAAGGCACGTTGATCAGAGGATTATGGGGAATAACGCGACTCACATATGGATGTCAATAATGTTAGCAAGACTCGTATTGTCAATGTGACAGTTGGTTCCCTTTATGGACGTCGCGTTACAACATGTGACTGATAGTCGTGAGTAAATCCACGCAAATTTGGGAGCTTCTATAAACCGTGACTTTATACCACTGTGGAACGTCCGAGGCATTAATGATGGCGCAGGACGAAGCCACTCATTTCACATATGTTTTCGGTGGCTTATATGGAAGGGATGTAAAAGAGGGTAAGCAATGGTACAAGTCATAATACACAGATCAGATTATATGTGATCTACAGATGGTGAGGAAAAATAGCGGATCAAAAAATATGCAAGAGTGAGAAATTGTAAAATTTTCACAATAAGGAAACAAAAAATTGAAGGACTCACAAGAATTTAGGACATTATGAGCCTCTTATAATCGCCGTAGCTGATCATCATCCATGTGATTAGTGAGTTATGTGTATACTTGTAATGGAAAAAGATGACATGACACTTGGGAGAAATAACGCAATTTTAACCATTAGATAGATTCAGAATCTAAAAGTGAGCGTGAGGAGCATAAGGGCCCGACTATTGATCAATGAGCAATGAGAGAGGGTAATTCATGTGTTCTGCCATTTGACTATATCCACATGAATGACAATGGGGTCCGTCATATTCATGATCGGTCTAAATATTAGGCGGTCCATAATAGTGTCTTATTGTGTGCAGAAGTTCAGGGAATAGTTGATGAAGCTCGTCAGTGTCAAGTAACAGTGTTATTAGTTTCTTGAACTTGGTGATAGTGTCACAATTGCGGATAGGTAATTGCAACCTATTCCATAATAAACCATAACGCAGTGTAAAAACTTACAACTTATTGGTTTTCGATGTTTTACTGAAAGCAGTGTATGTGTGTTGTTTCTCAGTGTGCAGACTGGACCATGGATCATGGTTGGGCAGGAGGTAAACTGTGAGTCCATATATTGCCTTGTAGAGAAATACTAGATTGTTCCTCAGCCGACTGTACCATACAGGTTCTAAGGAGAGGTGCTTACATTTATCTGTGTAGTTGAGAGTGGAGTCACATCGTAGTAATCGACGTGTGAAGCGTCTTTTGGTATCTTCTTCTCTTATTTGTGGTATTCATGTTTGAGAAGATAAAAGAGCAGTAGTCAAGGGAGGGTCATATACATACTGTGTAAATAGTAAACCTAGCATCCGTTGTCAAGGAAATTTTCATTATGAAACCAATTAACCGTCTGGATTTAGAAATAATAGAGGAGGCATGTTCTTTACATTTTAGGCTCCCTGTGTATTGGATACCTAGATCGTGGATTGATTTCATTGTTTGAACCCTACATTTATTTAAGTCAAATTGTAGTTAATAGGGATGTATTCCACAGTGCATGATCCCACACTGGTTGAGGTTAGATGGTAATTGCCATTTTTCTCTTCAAATAGTTAGGTTATTGAAGTCACTTTGAATCTGGGATCCAATTTCACTTAGAGTTTTAGGCCTAAAGCTGTATACTATTTTGAGATCATCAGCGTATGGCCTCCCAAATATTTTGGTGTTACATTTATCATTTGTATACATAAGAAACAAGAGTGGACCTAATATAATCCCCTGGATGAGTCTACCGGTTATGGGTCTTGTTGATGAGAGAGAGTCATTGTACTTTACCATTTCTTACATTCTGTTAAGAATGAGGCAAACCATGAATATTGTGAGTTGTTGATCTCGAAGGACTTAAGTTTGACGAGAGGCCCTATTTGTGGTACCTTATCAAAGTATTTCTTAATGTCTAGGAATAGGACTGATTCAAGGAGTCCACTGTTTCTTTTCATAGTCATGTTGTTCAGGAATTTATTTTAACGAGAAGCTTTTTGCTGGTTCTTACGATACGACTAGTCCGTGTGGACAATGACTGGACTTCCATGTAAGTTCCTATAGATTAGGTAACCACACCATGAAAAATCCACAATTTCTAGATAAGGTCTATTATTAGAGTATTACCAATACTCAGTTAGATCATGATTCTACAATAATACAATTCTTCCGAAACTCGTAAGAAGTAGCGAGTTGGAGAACAATGCCATCAATCAACTAGATATAAATGATTTATTTGTTCTTTTGAAACTACAAGTCGTCCAATTGAGTTTCGTAAGCTTAACAAACAGATGTTATCCATCTCTCAAACATTGTTCCATAACTCAGTGTTAGTCTGGAGTGAGGACTCTCACTCGATTGCTTCAGGGCCTTGGAAAACCTTTATCTTCTTGGTAATTCCAACTTTCTAACTGTTATCAGGTTAGAGGTTCTGAACATTTGATCGATAAGGCTTTATTGATGTGTGTAGACCTGTAGGGTCAGTGAAAAGGCAAAGCCCTAGGTAAATCATCCCTTGTCAGGTAACTAGATATCAAATGATTTAATGATCCTCGTCAAGTTCAAGTACAACAAACGCGCGTCAGTTAATTGCGCTCCATGAACTGGCCAATTCGGAGTGGTCGCACTATGTTCCTTGTACCCATTCATACTAATATATTTCCATAACAACGCCGCTTAGTTTGTATGGCTACCAAAGAAGCCATGGTACCTGAATACGACGAAAGGGTAATCCAAGTTAGGTACAATCGGTGTGACTTTTATATGGGCTCGAAACTGATAGCTCTATTTTGAACATAGATTTAATTTCCATTGTAGTCATCATTTCACCCCGTTCTTACAATATTGCTGCATTGGTCATATACCACATAATAATAATAATAATAATAATAATAATAATAATATATTTCTGCAAGGGCAGGTACACGCCATTTTTACAGGCATGATCTACAAGTTACAACATTTACTGGTTCACAGTATGCATTACCAAGCAGGGTTGTTTGGTAAATATAATCTACATGTCAGACTCAATCCAAACAAAAAATTCGGAGGATGAATGCGATTTGTCGTCGTTAGAGATAATCACTGTTGTGACTACGGCAGTCGAACTCCGAGAATTTGATCGAGTTGTGATTTACCTAACTAGAGCATCGTTTCATGAGGCACAATATCAAACCTGAGGAAATTCGCTATCGAGATCTATGCTCTGTCCTCTCTCCTTCAGTAGTCGAAGAAGTTCGTGACTTGATTTTAAGTCCCTCAACACCACAACCATACACGATTTTAGGACTAGAGAAAGTGAACAGTTTACCTCTATCAGACAATAAAAGAATTCGAAGACTTATCCATGGAGAAACATTAAGGGAAATGTCATCATCACAGTTTTTACGTCACCTCCAAGTCTTGGTGGGTGACAACACAGTGGGTGAAGTGGTTCTAAAACAAAGATGGATACAAGCTCTACCATGCTAAATCCAACACCGTTTTGATGTACAAGGCTCTGAAACCTCACTCAGAGAGTTTTGCAGGTACATTAATGAAAAGAGGTCTCCCAATTGCATCACTTACGTTAAATCATACACAAAAGGAAGAATAATTATAAGAACAGGTCATAACGGAACTCGTTGTGATTGTTGAAAGTCTCACAGAGGTTGCTACCAAAATGCAAACGGATCACAGAAACATGACAGGTCACCACAGAGACCTAGATCCAAGATACAGAGCAGTTAACAAAAGTCCAGCGAACATGGACAATTCTGTTAGTATCACCGGAATTTGGTTGTCAAGTCAACCAAGCACAGTCGGTCATAGGCCTGGCCGAAACAGACTCCCGAGAATATGGGGAACGGCTAACTCCTCTTTAGCTCGCGACAACTAAGGAGAGGTGCCTTAACAGTCACTAGTTTGATTCTATAAATATAAATTCAGGCTTGAACCTTTTGGTGGATACCGGTGCTGATCTTAATATCATTCCTCTGAATAAAACTGAGCTGGGTCGAGAAACTTCCCCAGTTATACTTCAAGCTGACAACAAAACTAAAATCACGGTTTTCCACAGAATACGTTGACGATGAACCTATGGTTTGGGAAGAAATTCTCCTGGGTTTTCACCGTAGCCGATTTATATCTAGCAACCATGGGCATGGACATTTTAGAGATATGCATTTTCAGTCGACACAAAAAGACCTTTGACACCGAAAGAAACTTTAAGGTACATACAAGACAAAGAAAGCCACATAACTTCTCTAAATTTGATGCAAACTCCTTTAATAGCAACTGCGAAATCCCAGGATATACTCGCAGAATCTCCAGACCTAGCTAAGAAGAATCCTCATTCTTCCAAAATTAAGTGAAAGATAAGTAATACAGTCAAAACTGAAGGCGCACTAATGTTTCTAGGTCTAGTAGACTATCACTGGATGAACTTGAAATAACTCGGGCCGAATTTGACTACATGCTACAGCTGGGTATTATCCGTCCGTCTGATGGCCAATGGGCATCACCTTAACATATAGTCGCAAGAAAAAATGAAAGTGATTGTCGATCTCTCGAGGATTATAGATCTCTCAACTGTCAAATAATACCAAATTGGTATCCAATATACCACCTCTCAAGATTTAAAAATAAAAACCTATTCATTTCTAGTCTGGTTTCTTCTGTCGGAAGGATGAAGGTTCTCACAGGCACGAAACTCGCGTAGGCTCCCAATCGTTTCACACAGATCATCTATGTTGGCGATCTACAGCCCCACCGTCATCTGAAGGACCTAGCTCTAGACTTACTTCCAAACATTTATAGGCAGTAGTGACATTCACAGGCGTTATGTCTTGCAAGGCTTCTTTAGATTCGACATCCAATTGACTAATGCTTCGCCTTTCAATGAAGTATCAAAACACTATCCAGAAGGACGTTATTTTCCAAAGTTCCTTTGACAGCATAATGTTTAACGGGAATAACATTCAAATGAACCTTCGATGAAATTAAATAGGAATAATATATATTTGTAAAATCTCAGCAAATGAATTTGTAGTAAATCCAACGTTTCGCCTAGCAATCCGGTCCAAGCTTTTTCAAGGAACCTTCCAATTTCAGGCTAAATTAACTACATGGTTACTAGTACCATCACTATGTAATAATGTGTGATGTTGAGTCTTTCGGTTTTTATTGTCACACTTTAAGCACTACTTACATGAGCTGGCTATGTGACACTTTCTAAAACAAAAATAAAACAGACCTCGTCTTCTTTCTTCCTATCTCATTACAGTAACCTTCATTTTCGATAACTCCATACAATGTCACTTTGTGAACACTTTAACAAAACTTGTAACTTACAAAATTGGTGAAGTTAGAAAAATCACTTTAAAGGAAAGATCAAAGATAAATTCACACCAATATATCAAACTTAATAATTGAGTAACTCCTTATATTGACATAAATGAGATCTTTTTATGCTGATGACAATCTGCAAGATCTTCGTGTTCAAAAATGACCCACTGAAGTTGAATGTTAAAACTCTGTTGAACCGAAAACATGTTGTATGTAACCTGATTAGTCGGTTGTGATTGTCAGAGGATTTACTTTTGAGTCAATTACAGCGAAATTATCTAGTTGGACGCTACAAACCTATAACCAACGAACTTGTATGCAGTGGTCACCTACCTTGTTCTCATTCAAACAAAATGACGTAAAAACAGGCGAAAAATTAGGTTGATAGGTAGTGGAAAACTCTCAGTATGTAGTTTGCAAAGATAAAAATATTGCTTTAGAAAATTGGTTATTGTACGCTCAACATCTTTTGTGTCTTCTCCCTTGAAGTGGCGCGTTCTGCACACAAGTGTTGGATTTCAATTTTTGGTTGGTTGTGCCCGAATTCGGTAAGTAATCTATTGACAAATATGACTGAATAATTGGTTTTTTCATACATATTTCATTTTTCCTTCAGTTTGCGTAACTTATGGTATAGTTTAGAAGCCAGTGCAATAGAACGCATATATACATATATAAATCATTCCGGTTATGTGGTTCGAAAAATTTCTTTTTCGATCATTATGGTGTAAAGTTGAGGGCTTCTATTGTTTCACTGAGTTATAAGTATATTAACGTGAAAATGGCTTTGTTTTGTTAATCGACGTGCTACTGATATATTTTTAGTCGCGGTTGCTTGTCCGAAATTTTAAACGAGAACACGCTCTTTATTTCAGCCAACAATTGAGTTGTATGTATGTATGCTCTTGGTGAGACTATTTATGAACGACCTTTGAGTGATGTTAAAATAACTTTGGAATATCCACCAACTTACTTGGGCTAAATGAGAGTTATAGGTTAGTGTGAGGATTTACGGTTGATTATTAGGATTAAGAGTTGGATTTAATGTTAGCATCACGAACTGACATCAGCTCTAATGTCAAAATGATATCTAGCCAAATAAGTAAACTAACCTCCCGCCAAAATCCAAGACCTAATATTATAAATTTAATTGCTCCAAACATAAATTATAGTTTCACTCATGTTTGGGAATTTCATACAATTCCTATCAGTCAGAATGAGGTAAATCCCAGTCTGCTATCCAATATCGTTGTCACAAACTTGGATAAATTAATTGATTTCTTTGTTCTCGTTTTTTGTTTTGGTACGGTCCCAGGAATTCGGTTATGTCCAATGAGTGGTTTTCCAGCCACTTAACCACTAATTCTAGTCACTGTTATATTTATTTGTGGCTTTGTTTATCTTGTAGTTAAGTAAAAGCGTTTGACTCAGGGCGGTGGGGTTTCTGGATACCAGCAACCATCAAATCACCGGTCAGGAGGTTGGTTGGTAACTCGAGTATTAAGAGGTGATTATTTCACGAATAAATAAATAGTTTTAATAATTGATGTGTAAGAGAATAGAACTGAAATTATAGGAGAAAAACACAGATGATCATAGGAGAAGTAGTTATGGGTTATGCAGTTATGATAACCGTGGTAATTTATGAGACATGTATCAGACAGCGCCGCTTGAAGAGGAGGATGGTAATCCATAAGTGAGTGCTTTTTTGTCAAGTCCCCTGTTGAATCTGTCCACTAAGGGAGCTGTGTTCATTTCGGCTGAAAGAAAATTTGATTTGCAATCCTGCGAATGTTGCCTGGAGAAGCGTGATGATGATGCCCTGGTAATATCCTGTCGTCGGGTGGTTCGATGTACTTCGAAGGGGCACAGATATATATGCGCCGCACAACTCTCATTTGATTTGTGTGAGGGCTGTGATACTGCCCAGGTGCCCAAACTGAAGCAGGTGGTTTTATTAGGGGGCTACACCCGCAGCCTTTGTCCTAAATGTCTGATCCACAAGGCAGTAGAGCATCGTGAGGAGATGCAGTCCTATGGTAGCAAGTGACCAACAATTGAATCATACGCCAATTGTTCCCTCAGGATACTGGAGACCACGTTCACCATCGGTTTGAAATCAGTTTTCCAACTCCCCTAGGTGGACTCGCAGTGTTCACCAACCCGGTTAAAGCGCTGGACATTTGCTTTTCGTCCTCTTAATTTCGTAAACAACACCCCCGGCCACGAGACGATAGTGAGTAGGTCTTCCCTGGCAGAGGCTATATACGCGTGGCCATGTGAATGCATTTCGAGAGAGAGCGAGAGCGGACTCTTCCCACTCTCGGCCGTACCAGGGCATTTGGGAACACGACGTAATTCATATGTATACCACTATAAGATTCCCTCTTATCTTCTTGTAGCCCAGTGAGAATAATCTCAGGTACTAGAGTCTGTCGTAATATATATGTTATATCCCTACCACAAACGTGACTGTCCATCTTTGTACTTCGTCAAAAGATTTATGTCTCTTGAAGAAGTGGGGCTCTACTACATCGTGGAATTCTAGGTAAGAACGTTCTTACGTTTTAAAGTGTTAGGAACAAGTCTGGGATGATTGCGCCAAGTTGTTCACATATTATGTTTATTTATTTATCCGAACAGGTAAGCATTAGTACAAGGGGACACCAAATACTTATGCGCCACACAATAACAAAGAGATATGGAATGTAAAGTACATAAAATGATATAAAAGAAAAAACAATCAACAGTCAGCTACAACGTAGGACCAGGCACATTTATGCGTCAGTCCAAGCTGCCACACCATTATCAAAAGTTGAACACCGAATTCATATAAAGATATGATACAGAGAGAAATAATTAGTTCGTAGAAAGAAAGGTATGAAGCAATTTTAATCTCACGGTTTAAGGGAAGACGAATAGTGTATACACATACGTCACTGTGATCGAGTCTGAGCCATGTCACCCAAAGTCTACAACTATTGGTTACGATAGTCATGCAGACCCCAACCATGTAGTCTGCATGTATCAACATGACTCAAACCAAAAGTTAGTGACTTCAAGGACTATTGCCACGTTTTGGTTTGGCCGCCCCCAACTTTCTTCCAACTATTCCCAACACTAGTCGGCATTGCGCACTGTGGTAATCGGTGTTCAGACATACGTAACACGTGGCCTATTTTATTTTTTTATTTATTTAAACACATAAATATTGGTACAAGGAAGCACCAGATACATATGCGCCTCACAAATCTCATTTGATTTGTGTGAGGGCTGTGATACTGCCCAGGTGCCCAAACTGATGCAGGTGGTTTTCTTAGGGGGCCACACCCGGAGCCTTTGACCTGAATGTCTGATCCACAAGGCAGTGGAGCATCGTGAGGAGATGCAGTCCTATGGTAGCAAGTGACCAACAATTGAATCATACGCCAATTGTTCCCTCAGGATACTGGAGACCACGTTCACCATCGGTTTGAAATCAGTTTTCCAACTCCCCTAGGTGGACTCGCAGTGTTCACCAACCCGGTTAAAGCGCTGGACATTTGCTTTTCGTCCTCTTAATTTCGTAAACAACACCCCCGGCCACGAGACGATAATGAGTAGGTCTTCCCTGGCAGAGGCTATATATTCGCTGGCCATATGAGAGTATTTCGAGAGGGAGAGGTGACTCTCCACACTCTTGGCCGTACAAGGGCATTTGGGGGCTAACCACGTGGCCTGACCAAAAACCACATCAACTGATTTACCATCACTCCCTAACACCCTACGTCTAACCTCACTATTACTTACCTGAAGATCCCAGCAGATGCGAGCAATATTTCTAAGGCATCTGTGGTCAAATACTGGTAACTTACGAGTATCTCCTGCTCCTAATGGCCACATTTCGCAGTCATAAAGTAGAACAGAGCGAACTGCTGCACAGTATACTCGTCCCTTAATTGGTAGACGGATATCTCACCTTCGCCATATGTGACGCAAGATGGCAAAAGCCAAACGAGCTTTTTGAATCCGTGCTGAGATTTCGTCAGACACCAACCCATTAGGGCTAGTCATACTTCCAAGTTAAGTGAGGTTGTCGACGCATTCAACCACTTCACTCAATCCTTAGTTCAGGTGTTGACGCCGGTCAGTTCTGAAGCACCAACTTGCATTTACAGGGAGAGGAACGCATCCCAAACATCCTGACATTGTTGCGCAGTACTATCAAAAGACTGCATTTTATCAGCAACTTTACCAAACAGGACTGTCATCTGCGTATTCTAAGTCGGTGATTGGACCTCCTGGTAGGAGATCGATTCCTGAAAATTCAGTCGATGAGAACGTTATTTCCAGCTCTAGGCCTATGATGGAATCGAACAAAAATAGAGATAGTGGACAACTCTGTCGGACACCACTTGAGGATGCGAAATCAGATGACAGTTCACCATAAGCTCTCACTCGACTGGTAGTGTTCGAGTAAAGAGCCTTCACAAGGTTTATGTACTTCTGTGGTACACCTTTTGATGACAGACACTGCTACAGAACCTCTCGGTCAAGAAAAACTATCATTGTCTGACGCCGACAAACATGTCTGTGTTCTAAAACCTGACGAATAGTGAATATGTGGTCGATACAGCCACGACTAGGTCTGAAACCAGCCAGATTTTCTTGTGTTGGCATTTCACGAGTCTTTGTTAAGCGTCCGAGAATGATTGAGGCTAGTATTTTAGATGCTATATTAGTCAAACTAATCCCTCTATGGTTATTACAGGATGATTTTGACCCCTTCTTATATGTTGGGAAAATCAATGATTGTGACCAGTCAGATAGGATTACGTCCAACTCCCAGATTTTAGCTACAATATTAGTCGAGAAGCTTACTTCAATGTTCCATTCATACTGTTTGGGAATGGTGGGCAACTATAGAGTAGCTGAAAGCCAGCTGAACTGCTCTTTAAAGTGTTCCACCCATCGTTCTAAATGTCTGGAGTGAGAGCATGTTATAACTTGTGACCGCCTGGATGCCATGTTAATGTATAACGTGATAATACTGCCAATTAGAAAGCAGTGAATTATTGGTCGGATCAATGACACAAAAACCGTACAAACAGTCTAGAGTACTTTTCAGTCCTGCTCTCTGCCTAACCCAGCCAGTCAAGTCCAGAACACCAATAACAGCCTCTGCAGTATGAATCAATGTATTTCAGACATACTGAGTTTATATACCAACCAGTCCCAGCGTCGGCAAATAATTCACGATGACGAATTCTTCGGGACGACATTCGTAGAACATGTCCAAGTTGCCGTAGTCGGTGTTTTTACGGTAATGACATCAGTTGAATCATCGTCGTTTTGCCCTAACAAACGATACCGAACTTCTGCATTACTAACATGGTGTTGCCACTGTATGTCAGAAATCCTTCGGAGACAACAATGATCAAACACAGACAGGCGTCTAACATCCTCAACTCAGATAGGTCGGGTTTCACAAACAACAAAATTGCGCTCATTGACGCGTTTTAGATCTGACCTTTTATAGACAGGCTAACATCACGAAGGCTCTAAAGAT